TTTTTTCCGTAGCATGATTTGTTCTTGGTTGTTGCAGTCATTCCTACTACATTATTGAGTTTTGAATCATCTCATATTCCATTTTTGAGTGGTGAAAATTTTTCTGACTGGAAAGATAAGATTCTTTTGACTTTGGGGTGCACGGACCTTGACTTGGCGCTTTGTGTGGACGAATCACCTGTTCCCACGGAATCAAGTACGCTAACTGAGAGGGCTTTTTATGAGCGGTGGGAACGATCTAATCGCTTAAGTTTAATGCTCATCAAGTCCCATATCAGTAAGGGCATTAGGGGTTCAATCCCTGACTGCGACAAGGTTAAGGTCTTCATGAAGGCTATTGAAGAGAAATTTCTTACATCTGATAAGGCAATAGCCAACACCCTAATGAAGAAGCTCTCAAGCATGAGACTTAATGGTTCTAAAGGTGTGCGTGAACATATTATGGAAATGTGGACATTGCAGCTCAACTTAAAACATTGGAGATAGAGATTTCTGAGTCGTTCTTAGTACATTTTATCCTTAACTCTCTTCCTATGGAATATAGTGCTTTCAAAATTTCCTATAACACACAGAAGAAGAAATGGTCAGTAAATGAACTTTTGGCCATGTGTGTTCAAGAGGAAGAGAGATTGAAGCATGAAAAACTAGAGACTGCCAATCTTGCATTTCATGGAAAATGAAAGGCTGAAAGGACAAAACTGTTTCACAACAGAAAGTGCAAATGAAGCGTTATGGCAATAAAGGTGAATGCTTCTTTTTGCAAGAAAAAGAGACACATGAAGAAGGATTGTCCTAAGTACAAGAAATGGCTCGAGAAAAAAGGTAATCTATTCTCTCTTGTGTGTTATGAATCTAACTTTGTTAAAATTCCTGATAATACATGGTGGATTGATTCTGGTTCTACAATTCATGTTGCCAATACAACGCAGGGCTTTCTCAGCCTAAGGAAACCGACAACAAGTGAACACGACATCTATTCGGGAAATGGGATGCGTTCACATGAGGAGGCTGTGGGAACTTTTAGACTGATTTTAAATTCTGGCTTTGTTTTGGATCTTAAAAACACTTTTTATGTTCCATCATTTTCTAGAAATTTAGTTTCGATTTCAAAATTAGTACCTTTTGGATATACATTTAATTTTGTTAGTTCTAGTTTCAATTTATTGAAAATAATGCTATTATTGGCAATGGTTTTTTAACTAATGGTTTATATAAATTTGATTTGGATCTTTCATATGAAAATAGTCTTTTAACCTTACATAGTGGAATTGGCATAAAGAGAAGTATTATCAATGAGAACTCCTCTATGTTATGGCATAGAAGATTGAGACATATCTCAATGGAAAGAATAAAAAGATTAGTAAATGATGGAATTTTAAATTCTCATGATTTTACTGATTTTGGTACTTGTGTGGATTGCATTAAGGGAAAGCAAACCAACAAGTCCACTAAAGGTGTCAAAAGAAGTTCTAATATTCTTGAGATCATACACACAGACCTTTGTAGACCATTTACTCCACCTTGTTTCAATGATTAGAGATATTTTATCTCATTTATTGATGATCATACATGATATATGTATCTTTATCTTTTATTTGATAAGGCTGAGGCACTTGATGCTTTTAAAGCCTATAAAGCAGAGGTAGAGAAACAAACAGAAAAGAGCATTAAAATCGTGAGATCAGATAGAGGTGGAGAATATTATTGAAGGTACACAGAATCCGGACAAATACCTGGTCCATTTGCTTTGTTGCTTAAATAAGAAGGAATAATTACCCAATATTCAATGCCTGGTACACCAGAACAAAATGGTGTAGCTGAAAGGAGGAACCGTACACTTATGGACATGGTAAGGAGCATGCTTAGTTATTTCAATGTTCCCATAAATTTGTGGAGTGAAGCTTTGAAAACCGCTGTGTATGTCTTAAATCGGGTTCCATCTAAAGTTGTTCCTAAAACACCTTTTCAATTACAAAAATGATGGAAACCAAGTTTAAGACATTTGCACATATGGGGTTGTCCAGTTGAGGTAAGGATTTATAATCCACACTTAAAGAAATTGGACCCAAGAACAGTTAGTGGTTTTTGTATTGGCTACGCTGAAAACTCCAAAGGTTTCAAATTTTATTGCCTTTCACACACACTTAAAATTGTTGAGGCTAGAAATGCAAAATTTCTTGAGGATCATGAATCAAGTGGGAGTGGTTTTTCTCGTGTCATAGAATTCGAGGAAATAAGGGACCCTATTGAGAAACCAATTGAGGAATTGGTTGTTGCTCCAAGTGTTATTTCAAATATCATTGAAGAACAACCAATACAAGAACAACTGATCCATGAGGAACAAATCAATACAGAACCTCTTATTCAAAATTTAAATGAACCAATAGGAGTAAGGAGATCCACAAGAGAAAAGAAATCAGCTATTTCTAGTGATTACCTTGTATATCTACAAGAATCTGACTTTGATGTTGGACCTAAAGCTGATCCTAGTTCATTTTCACAAGCCATGAATGGAATTAATTCCAATTTATGGTATAATGCCATGAAAGAAGAGATGAAATCAATGGCCACAAACAAAGTTTGAGATTTTGTTGAGTTACCAAAAGAGGCTAAGGCCATTGGCTGTAAATGGGTCTATAAGACCAAAAGGAATTCTTCTGGTAACATTGAACGATATAAAGCCAGACTTGTAGCCAAAGGTTTTACCCAAAAAGAAGGAATTGATTACTATGAGACCTTCTCTCCGGTTTCTAAGAAAGACTCATTTCGAATAATCATGGCTTTAGTAGCTCATTTTGATTTAGAGTTACACCAAATGGATGTGAAAACGACTTTTCTTAATGGGGATCTTGAAGAAGAGGTATACATGGTTCAGCCTGAGGGATTTTCCTCAAAGGATAATCACTTGGTTTGTAAGTTAAAGAAATCTATGTATGGACTTAAACAGGCCTCCCACCTATGGTATTTAAAATTTCACAACATTGTTACTTTATTCGGGTTTACGGAGAACATTGTTGATAATTGTATATACCTTAAGGTTAGTGGAAGTAAATACATATTCTTAGTCCTGTATATAGATGACATTCTATTTGCGAGTAGTGATTTGGGTTTGCTACAACGAAAGAATTTCTTTCTGAAAACTTTGAAATGAAGGATATGAGTGAAACCTCATATGTCATTGGCATAGAGATTCACAGAGATAGATCTTGTAAAACATTGGGACTATCTCAGAAGGCTTACATTGAAAAGATTTTGGAAAAATTTAACATGAAGTCTTGTTCACCTTCTGTAGCACCTATTGTCAAATGAGACAAATTTAGTCTAAATCAATCACCATAAAAAGATTTGGAGAAAGAACAAATGAAAAATATACCTTATGCATCTGCGGTAGGTAGTCTCATATATGCTCAGGTTTGTACAAGACTTGATGTTGGGTTTGTGGTATGAATGTTAGGCAGATATCAAAGTAATCCAGGCATTGAACACTGGAAAGCTGCTAAAAAGGTTATGAGATATTTGCAAGGAACTAAGGACTACAAGCTTACATACAGACATGCAGATTCACTAGAGGTGATTGGATATTTAGATTCAGATTTTGCTGGATGTTCCGACACTAGAAGATCTACTTCAGGATATATATTTCTTCTTGCTGGAGGAGCTGTATCTTGGAGAAGCATCAAGCAGTCCATAACTGCTTCGTCTACTATGCAAGTGGAATTTGTTGCATGCTATGAAGCTACAACACATGCCTTATGGTTAAGAAATTTTATCACAGGACTAAGGATTATTGATTCCATATCAAGACCACTAAGGATTTGCTGTGATAATTCGGTTGCAGTTTTCTTTTCTAAAAACAATAAAAGTGGCAGCCGAAATATGGTTCATATGTGACTAACTAGCTCTTTTGATGTATGAAATTACTTTCTCATTTTGAGGGATTCACTATTGAAAACAATATTTATTTAGAATAAATAGATGACCTTTGATTGTGCACTTAAAGTATTCTATTGAGCTCATCGACACTGAGTTAATGGTTGCAGATCCCATGACAAAATGATTGCCGGCTAAAGTACACAATGATCATGTGGTTCATATGGGACTAACTAGCTCTTTTGATGTATGAAATTACTTTCTCATTTTGAGGGATTCACTATTAAAAACAATATTTATTTAGAATAAATACATGACCTTTGATTGTGCACTTAAAGTATTTGTCATGTTTGTTATCCATTGGGATAAGTAAAGTATTACCCAAATGGCTATTTATTAGTCATTTGTAAATTAAAGTATTTTATTTAGTACTCATTGAAAAGTGTCATACATTGTAATTTATAGAAGGAAATGTCCATTAAATGGGGCATAATCGCTATGATTCGTGTAGTAACACTTAGCAATGGAGTGTGAAGATTTCAATATTAAAGTTTAGGCAAAGTTTAATGGCCATAATTCAGTACATATCACCCAATAAAATATTTATATGATTTGTGGACTAAGTGGGAGAATGTAAGCTGCGTCTCCTAAGAGGAGACTTAATGTGGCCCATATACATATTAATATTTGTAAATTATATATATTATATATTATTTATATATTTATCCTTATATGTTTATTTATCTTTTGATAATTATAGGTGATAATTATTGAAGGTGCCTAAAATATCAAGAACTCTAAATGGTGGTTTGGCTAAGACCTATCAATTTCCACTAATTAAGTTTCCAGGAAACTAACAAGGTTTATTTGATAATGTATCTATCTGATAAGGGTCCCTAACGTAGCAGTTATAAATAGGCCCGCAGTTTTCCATCAATGAGGCCTTCAAGTTCTGCATAGGTTAGAAGACACTTATTTATAAAGTGTGAAGTGAGTGATATAATATTGAGAGGTTTAGAAGAAATACATACATTACACAACTTGATCAATAATGACTAAAATAGGTTAATATAAATTTTATTCCACTTATATTTTATGTGTATGATTTTCCTACGTTATAAAATAAAAAATAAGACAAATGATTCGTACTCTGAGAAATATGATTGTCATAAAATCTTCCCAACCCGAAACCAATGTTATTGGAAATTTCGGAACTTAATAATGGAACAACAATTATTCAAAAGGCATGATTACGTAATCTTGCTAACACACACCCCTTCGTCATAGAACAACATCTAAAAACAGTGTTAAAATTAAAAGAGTGTTACAAAAAATGTAAACTTGTTAGCACAAACACACACACCACATAATCGATCTCAAGAGTATGCAGTACTGCGAAACCTATTGATAGTGCAAGCATTGAGAATCCTAAGAAGGACTTGATTGCTTGTACACCTAGGGGTCTTGAACTGGCTCATTGCAGCCCCATTCCCAATAAAATACTCTAAAATCTTCTTAAAAGTTCCTCTCTCCACAATGCAGAGCTCCAGAGGGCCAATCGAGTTAGTTCTTCTCGACACAACGTAACCATGATCCACGAAAGCCGCGTCCATTTCTCTGCAGCATTCGCTTAAAACACGGTCCTCCACATCTTCCTTGATCTCCCAGTAAATCACGTAGTGACCGGGTTGGTTTGCCACATTGGCATGGCTCGTGAAGTCGACTAGGTCAGCTCTTGCCTTGCTCAGGATTTGGCAGCCCCTCTCTACTACTTGTTGGAGGTCTTTTTCGGTGTTTTTGTCTATGTTTACTGTTAGGATTAGCTTCCTCCTGCAAATAAAGTTGAGTTTAGGGGTTCCTCTGTAAAATCCTGCAACTTCTACTACATCTCCTAATCTGTACCGGTAGAGCCCTGAAAAATTGTAGGACTTGGGAGAGGGTTAGTCGAAGAGCATTGATATAGACTTCGAAAAAATACTTTGAATTTTATTCAGAATTAAAAATTTGGATAAAATTAATTCTACTATGTGACACAAAATATATTAATTTTAAATTTACACTCTAAATTTTATTTTTATGGTAAAATTCTAAATAAATTTTCACATTAGTTAGAATTATTATTTCATGTCAGGACCGAACACACCCCTAGTGCTGTTTAGCCCCACACACTCGATTCCTAATAAAACTTGTATACAAAAATTAAATTTTTTTTTTACTTTTTAGCCAATAGTTTGACAAGTTAAAAAACAATATTAGGAAATTTAACTACTTGAATCAAAATTATTCTGAATTTTATTCACACTACATTAAGTTTAAAAAAATTAGCCTAGTAACTAAATATAAGCCTATAAAAAGATTTTTTTACTTGATTCATATATAATATTACAATAAATTCAATGAATTACAATTATAATTAGATCAAATACAATATAAGGAAAATCCTAAGTGAGAGAGAAAATCTCAATAAATATACTAAAAAGGAAAAATAATGTTTAAAAAACTAATTTGTTTGACATATTTTTATCTTTTTAAACTTTTCTAGTAACTTTTTAATGTGACAAAAAGTAAATTTGCTTAAAGACAATGAGTTAATTTTTTACACAAATAAAAAAGTTACTACAGCTAGCTAGTATCCACCAAAAAAAAAAAAAAACTGAACATAATAATTAATAAATAATAATAAGGTACAGATAATTATTAGGAACATTAATATTAAGAAAAATTAAATTTTATTAGAGATTCATAAAAAAATTATATTTTTAATTATTAATATTTATAAAATTTATCACTTTTTTATAATTATTTTTTAAAATTACGCTGAGATTTTCCGCATCATTATTACTTTGGTTTGGAGTCAGTCCACGTATTCGAAGTTTCTTAACTAACTTTCCTGAATGGTCCACGTGGAAAGCAGATTAGATTTGGTCTAGATATTTTGGCATTCAAATAAACCATGGTCAAACTCGAAATTGTTGGGGGTGGGCATCGTCCGGATTGGATCGGATTGGGATAAAACGAGGATCAATCCGTTATTTACGGTTCCTAAAAAATTGGAACCAATCCAATCCGTTTAAATCATGGAACCAATCCGAACCAATCCATTTAAATACGGATTGGATCGGTTTAGGACCACGGATTCACATAATTAAATAACAAAAATATATATATATATAACACTTGAATTTCATAAAAATATAAATATAACGCTATATTAGTTCCATAATAGCAATATGTTTTTTTATAATAACGACATACTGTTCTATAATTTAAACAACCATAAGAAAACTGGTTTCACCATAAGTATTTAGACCATTGCAAATTAAAACTTAAAACTAACAAACAAAAGTAATAAAAGAAGATATTATACGGTTTTAGGTTTGAGTTTAGATTTTATATAGAATAAGAGAAGATACTATGGGGGAGGTTGTATAATAAAAATATAGACTATTTGTATACGGTCCGGATCGGTTCCAATCCGAAACCGTGGGATTCAATCCGGAACCAATCCGTGAACTACGGATTTTTAATTCTTCAATCCGGAACCGAACTGCGGATTCAAAAAACCAATCCAAACCTATCGAATTTGACTGGACTGGATTGGATTACGGATTTCACGGATTCCTTGCTCAGCCCTACGAAATTGGCATGTTGTAGACTAAAGCAGCAAGCTGTACGAGCATATACATTATTGATGTCCAAGACTTACAAACTCAACCCAAAAAATAAAATAAATTAAAATTAAAAATTATCACAAAAATAAAATATATAATATAAATTTAAATTTAGTGTATGCTTGGCTCAGTTATCTATTTTGTATACATATACTATTATCTCAAAAGTTATGAAGTGAGTCTTTACGGAAGGTAAAAATTAATTATGGAGGGTTTGTTTGTATTGAGCAATTTACTTCTTTTTTCATAATGAGCTACTACACTAGAGTATAATTGTTCAATTTAATATAATTTTTCATATTTATAATTAAAAAATTAATTAAATATAATATAGTGCGAGTTACATCCTCATATTTGTGAGGTAAATACAATTTTGCACCCTTTTATATTATATCAAATCTCATTTTGATTTCTTAAGTTTCAATTATAACACTAAATTCTTTACATTTTCGGTCAACTTATAAAGCGAGTATTTTAGTGTTAAAGTGCTTAACGGAAATTGTTAAGTAACCCTTACATGAGACATCTTTGAGGGTAAAAGAATCATTTTCTTCCCTTACTATTTTTTTAAACCACCACCCACCGAGCACCGACCACTGCTTCCCTGCTGCTTCCCACAATTTTCTTGTATCCCACAAATAACCCATTTCCTTCTGTTCCTTACATTTTTCTCTCATCCCCACCTTTTCCCCACAATCCACCACATATTCTATTTTCTAATTTTTTTTTTTGTCATAAAAGAAATTGAAACAATCGGAAAGCTAAAAGTACTCATGAGTTACCTCTAATAATGATAGGTAAAACTATATCTGTGTTAATGAGATCTAACACTGGAAGTTTCAAGACATGAATTGAAAATGAAAAGTTTCTTAAATTTTACATACCTGTGAAAGTAGTTAGGACAATTTCATACTGCTGTCCAACTTTAACTCCAGACAATGGTCCTATCTCACCTTCTATGAAGTCATCAGCTACTGAACTAACATCTTCGTTCTGTCGATACAGCGGTATGAACTCAAAATATGAAAAACTTGGCATCACCGCGAAAGTAACATTCTCCGGTGGAGATGAAGGATCTAAATTCACCCCAATCCAACTCTCTGTTGATCCATAATCAGCGCTCACCAATGCCAAATCCCCGGCATAGTGCCTTAACTTTTTCAAGTATGGTTGCATTGAACCTGTCATTATAGAATACACATACTTTGCATTTGGCCATAGCTTTGGAATCAAACCAAACCAGTCTCCCCCTTCTAACTCCTCGCAAATCGCTTCAATCCGCGAAGCCAAACATGGGTCCGGTGAGACTATATCCAAGACTGCTTTTCGCACTTTGGGTATGGTGATTTTGGAGCTGAGAGTGCCTTCTCTGATATCATTGCAAATGTCTTTCCAAACCTCTTCAAACGATCTGAAGGCTTGGACTATGCTGTATGCAAAAGTTGAGGTGATGAATTCGACTTGAGTAGAGAAGAATAGGCCGAGAAAGAGGTGACAGTAAGTGGATTGTTTGTAGTCTCCACTTGAAATGACTTCAACTGGGCTGCAAGTGAATGATCTTGTTTGTTCTTGCTTGATCTTGAACTCTTCACTTGCATAGTAGTGAGTTGTTGCTGTTCCAGCTGTTAAACCACCCTTTGTTTTGAACTGTTTACTGCTGTATATGAACTCTAGGATCCTTCCTCCTTCCCTTATTGGGTAAACCCTAGGCCCAACATTCAAGCAAAATAGTTTCATAGTTAAGTCAAAGAAACAACTTCATAATAAAGAGAGATGGAAAAGTTAAAAGAAAAAAGAGTAACTAATGTTGAAGTACGCAAAAAATCATCACAGAATGATATGATTGACTGTTGATTTTATCATTTTAAAAACAAGGGTTTGGTTATGGTGTGCAACTTACACCTTACACCTTATACCTTACACTTACACCTTACACTTACACCTTTTGTAAAAAATTAAACCTTACACTTACACCTTTTTTGAGGTTGCACACCATGTGCAACCTACTTACACCTTACACCTTACACTTACAACTTACACTTACACCTTATACTTATACTTACACCTTACACTTATACTTTTTGTGTAAGTTGCACATGGTGTGCACTTGCACACTTAAGAAAACTCCTAAAAACAAAAACATCGTCATAATGGTTTAAAATTAAAAAAATGTAACTATCTCATTCTTATCGTGAATTCTATACAAAAATAGATTTTAGGAGTTTGAGAGAGAGAGGGTTGAACCTTGATCTATAAGCTGCAGCCAACCTAAAAATTTGAAGAGTGGTCATGGCGCTGTGTCGAGTAAAAGGAACATACTTCTGTCGCCCTTCTGTGGTTCCAGAACTAGAAAAAAGAACCATTATGTAATGCACCATTGAAATCATCCAGAAAAGTATTAAAACAAACAAACACACCCTTTTGTAAAATGAATTACTCCTTGCTGGTTTCCTTTCAAATCAATGGTGAACCAATTTATATTTTTTTTAATGTTAATCTTTCAATATATGAAGCATGGACATCTACTTGGTTCTTGTGCACCAAACTAACAAAATAGATAGGATCGAACAACTATGAAGTGTCTTAACAGATTAGAAACACAATGAAAAAAAAAAAAGGAGATCCAAAAAAACCTAAAACCAAATACTCGCTTTCTCTCCTCTCTTAGTTACTTTGATTAGTTACTTGTTTAACACATAGAGACCATGGGTTGATCTTGTGAATGAAGAATTTTTTATTTTATCGAGTATGATGCTCGAGTTATAGTCTCATCACTGTGTGATGCAGTTTCTCTTTATACTATTCCTCTCCTACTGCCTTTTTCAACACTCCTGAATTCGAGTCTCATCTCATCACTGCATAATGCAGAGTTCTTCTTCCGTTATTTCACTCCTACAGGGTTTTTTTTTTATTTTTTAATTTTAATTTTTTTAATTAAAAAAAAAAACTCATTGATAGCTAGTGAAAGTTGAAGCTTTGATTGAAAAACTAATGGGAGAAGAGGTACCTATGCCATACCTTAAGGAGAGAGTAGTGATGGGTTGTTGAGTGAGCAAAGGAGAGGTGTCTCCATCAGCTATTCTGTGAATGTAAGGCTCCAAATCTGCATGGGAAGCAATAGGTACCAAAGAAGTGTAAAGTGATTCCAATGCATTTGCATCCATGTCTTGTACATTTTTTATGCACCCCAACCATTTCTTCAAGTACTCCACACCATAATTCAGTTCAAGAATCCGGCGAAGTGTGTGGGTCTGAACGAAACCCGCGTTCTCTGCAACGTCTTCGAACCATCTGATAACGTCATAGTCTCCTCCTCCTCCATTGCTCTTGTTACTCAAAGGCATAGCTACTGGTTCCATCTCTCTCTCTCTCTCTAGAGAGATTTGGAGAAGGAGGGGAAGGAGTCCACTTGATGGAAATATCCTCAACTCTTTGGTTAATTGGTTATATCCTGAGGGATTTGTCCGAGTGAAAGCTCAGGAACCATTCTTCTAAAATTAATTCAGAAGCTCCATTGAAGTGTTGGTACGATGGTATGTAGACCACACAAGTCTTTGGCTATCATTTTTGATGAGAGAGAGAGAAAGAGAGAGAAAGAGAGAGAGATTCTTTCATAATAAGCGATGGATACGAATGCAGTAGGGGACCAAAGCTCACCATGTTTGACAGCTCTGAACCACTTGAGGATTTCCTACCCTTCATAGGCCGATCCCTCCAAAATTAATGTTGGTCAAAATATCAGAAAAAATTATATTTTATTAATAAATAATGTAAAAAAAAATGAGATAGAAATAGATCAGGTTAAGGTATGGATATCTCGTTTTCTTTAAGGAGATTAAGCCCACTGTGGTAGGAAGAACCCCAATACCGACACTACAACAAAAATAGTCTTTAGAGACGAAAACTAATGATGAAAATTTTTTTTGTCACGATAAACGTATCTTTTAATGACGAAAATCATATTTCGTCTCCAAATGTACCATTTTTGGAGACAAAAATAAAATTTCGTCACCAATCTAAATCATAATAAAAAAATTAGGTGACGAAATTATTTTTCGTCATTATTTATAATTTTTTTTGTCACCAAATATTTTCCCGCTAATATTTTCAGAGGGCGCCAAAATTTGGAGACTTTTAGTGACGAAAAAATTAGTCACTAATTATAAAATTATTAATGATGAATATATTTTTGTCACCAATAATTTTTAATATTTTAATATTATTTAGTGACAAAACGATTTTTGTGGCCAATATTTCTATTTTTGGTGAAGAAATAATTTTGTCACTAATTAATAATTTAGTTACTAAATATTTAGGGGAAAAAAAAATGTTTTGGCGCCTCAAACACCCACAATAATTTATCGGCTCAAACCTATTTCACACACACACACATACACACACACACACAGAGGCGACGCCGCTGCTCACTCTCCTCATCAATTCAGACACAGATTCATCGCCGATCGGCTCACTCTGCTCACCGCCGTCACCCTCTCCTCACCGCCGCTGATCTGTTAGCTTCTCCTCTCCTCACCGCCCCTCGCTACTGTGCCGATCTAGCCTCTCCTTCCCTTGCCGATCTCATCTCCTCTTCTCACTGCCGCTGATCTGTTAGTCTCTCTCTCTCTCGTTGCTCTTTTCTCTCGATGCTCTCTCTTTCTCTCTTTTCTTTTGCTACTCTGTGTTCTGTATACATTATATTGTTATACATATAATATATATATATATATATATATATGTATCCTGCTCTATTTTATTTATAATTAGATTCTGAATATAATTAGATTCTGAATATGAACCTTGTAATTTGATTAAGACATGAACCTTGTAATTTGATATTTTATAAAAAATAAATTTCTTCTTGGACAATATGAACCTTGTAATTTGATTAAGATATGAACCTTGTAATTTGATATTTTATAAAAAACAAATTTCTTCTTGGACAATATGAACCTTGTAATTTGATTAAGATATGAACCTTGTAATTTGATATTTTATAAAAAACAAATTTCTTCTTGGACAATATGAACCTTGTAATTTGATTAAGATATGAACCTTGTAATTTGATATTTTATAAAAAACAAATTTCTTCTTGGACAATATGAACCTTGTAATTTGATTAAGATACTGTGAAAGTAAATTAAAGTATTGTTTCTGGAGGGGAAAGATTTAGGTTTAATTTCTCCATCCTATGAACCACATGAGAAGAAAAAGACCTTTGCTGTTCAAGTAGTTATTTGAATTGCATGAAATATCATGCATTCCATTTAGCCCAATATTGAAGTTATTGACACAGTCATGATTTTCTTTTTTATTATAAATTGGGATGTAAGATTTTGAGATTAAGTAATTATCTTTTTAGTAATAGAATTCAGAGAAATATATAAAATATTATTCTTGTTTTCTTTGTGTTTTTCGTTCATTTCATACACATCTCTACATCAGCTATAGAGTGCCTAATTTGTCATGAATTGCATTTGAAACTTTGGGATATAAGAGGCTAAGTGGAAAATAGTACAAGCTTGGATCATGTAACCCCAAGGAGATGGATGGACACCACTACATATAGATATAGATATAGATATAGAGACAGACATATCAAAGGGGGTTGGAAAACAAGATTGTGTTTTTTTTTTTTTTTATTGAAGAAACATACTGTGAATTATTAATTGAGCCCAGTTTTGTTGTGCAACATGGCCAATCAGATTTGATATTGTAATGCTGAGTTCTTTGGAGTTTTCAGAACCTCATTGACATCACAAAAATTCAAATTTTTACTTATTGCATATTCCTCCATTTTCTTGACAACAATTCAACTAGGAAATTTAGTTTTGTAATAATAATACTTTTGAACTTTGTAGAATCATTCATCATTTTCTTTTTCAAATTTATGAGTCCCACATATCTAATCATGTTTTCTTGCCCTAATTCAAAACTTCTATTTTGGTGTCACTGGTACGTATCTATGAAGGTTTCAATTAATGCCAAGACTCAATAGTGCTTCAAGAGAGAAAACAAAGGTATTGTTGACGTCCAATTTAATTGCTTTATTTACATATATGTTATGAATTCGTATAAACATGTTATTGATTGCTTTAACCATCTGGTGTGGTGGCTTTGGGGAGCTGTAATAGAAAGGTGATGGTGGTGTCAGATGCTACATGTGTAGCTAACAAACATATTGCCAAGGCACATAGTGCCATTGGCAAAGAAGTGGCCATTTTCAGATGCACTTCTTAGGCTTTGTTTGTAATACCCAAAACTACTACTACTTGATACTTCTAGAAAGGGAATGCTAACCCTTTTTATAGCCCTTCAATCAGTGTAGGTATTTGTTTAGTAGTTGATTGAAGCTTTCTCCCTCTTAACAAATTATATTACTTTAACAACTGGACGTGGGTTCCCACTACCTATATATTTTGTGTACAAAGCGAATAAACACTGAATATGGGCAATGTGCTGGAATTGAAGAGGAGATTTGACCAGTTCTAATTTGGGGTTACATAATAAAAAACTTGCCAATTAGTTGACATTGAGTGAGCCCTGGCTGCAGCTGTCTGAAATGTGACATGGTAGGAAGTGATTTTAGTTTTGTAATATATGTATTTATATAAATGGACAAGTTATGTATGACATGTATACTTGTCAAGAAAAAAGAAACACAGGTTTTGTTTGTAGAACACATGAAAGATTATATGCACATGCACAGGTTCTATAAACCGACCCTCTGTTCTATGTTCATTTTGCAGGGAATTTCTTTCCTTGAGTCCTTTTTAGGGTGTAAAAATGGAGTGAAAGCAATCACCGCATTGTGTCCTCCAAAGCCGAATGAGTTAGAGATAGCTATTACAAATAAAGAATAACATGATAGATTAGTTGAAAACATATGTTTGTGGGAGAAAAGGAGCTATATGTTTCATATTGTTTAGAGAAAATCCTATTGTAATGCATTATCATTTTGTTTCTTTGGTTCATGTTTTAAAAATTGACATGTGTAATGTGTGGTTGATGGTATTGTGTGTTCAAATTTGAAAGCAACTTGTAGGATGAGTAATTCACTTGCTCTCTCTCACACACACATACATAACATCAACGGGAATATCACAAGTGAATTTACCCATTTTTAAAGTTATAATATGTTTCTGGTAACATAGTATGTATATATTAAAAATTTGTCTTTTTACTTTATTTTAAAACTCTTCAAGGCTGCTTCAAATTTCAAATCTTGCAATTCTCAAAAGCCCATGTTCTTCCACAACCATATATCAACAATAATGATTTTTTTTTATTGATAAGTGGAGTTAATTAAAAAAAATGCAATAAATCATCAGAGGAGTTGATCATAAAACGTTTAAGTAATATTTGAAGGTTCAACTTGTTACACTTTGTCTCTCGGATTATGATTATTTAGATTCAAATTGTTATAAGCGTATGAGTTTGTGAGCAATATAGCAGTCAGCTGTAGCTGCTGTAGTATTAGTTACTCTGTCTGTGGACTGTGATCTGGGCTGCAGCTGGCTGCTGTTTGCTGCTGTGTCTGTGGACTTTGGCCTTGGCTGCAGCTGACTGTTGTGGCTGCTGCTGCTGCTCTGCCTGTGGCTACACTGCTGCTCTGCCTTATCAAAAGATCCCATTGTTTAGAATTATGGAGCAACTTGATAGTTTTAGAATTATGGAGCTGCTGCTGCTCTGCCTGAGCTGCTACTGCTGCTGGTGCTTTGCCTTATTGTTATAAGAGATAGAAGGTGACTAAAAAAAAAAACGCAATAAATCATCAGAGGAGTTGATCATAAAACGTTTAAGTAATATTTGAAGGTTCAACTTGTTACACTTTGTCTCATTTGTAGGATAAATATAGCTTCCATATTCTTCATTCAACATATGATCATGGTCATGGCGTATTTGTTCTATTACTACCACTGTTGTACGGTTTCTCTGCATACTCTACCATATCTAAGCTGTTTTTCAAAACAAAAAAATGAAAATAAGTGCATATTTATTCTATTTCAAATTCAAGTTTAGTTAAAAAGTAATAAAATTCTATACATCGATATAGCAAAAAATAAATAAAAATACAAATATGGTTAGGATGTCTATGAAAAAATATTTTTAGAATTTGCAATATTGCATAATGTATAACAATTAGAAAATCAAATGTAATATATGATTAATGCAAGACATAATTATGTTAAGCATCAATGATCATCAATCCTAATTGGATTTAAAATATATGCAATACAGGAACATCACCTCTTTTAAGAAGAGGATCTTTTGTCTTGATTTTTTTTCCATGGAAACCTTCACTACTCTACAATATGATTTAAAATTTTTGCGTGAAATATTAATTCAAGGGATTGGAACTTCCTTGTTATGAAATATTTCGAGTTAAAATATATGCATTACAATTCGAAACATTGGAATTATGTTTTTCTTCTTTTATTTAATGGTGAATAATTATATTGTCTATATTTTCCAATTAAAGTTGAATTATGTTATATAGTTGTAGAAAATGGTCAAAGGAAAAAGACAATGGCTGAAACCAGGTGATTTGAGAACTAAGAAGCTAACAGAATATGAGAAATAAAGAAATAAGCGAATCAAGAAGAACTATGAGGTAATGAACAATCTTGGAGTGAAGAATATTACAAATTCTTCGATGAGTGTGGTTCAGCCCAAATGTGCAAATGCAAAGGAAAAGGGAATTAGGGTTGAGGTAGATGATGATGATGAGTATAATCCGTCAGAGAGTGAGAACGATAGTGATAACGAGTCATTGGGTTCCTTTTATCGCAAGGTATTATATACATTATTTTATATTTGTGTGTGAACATATCATTTACTATTTAAATATCTTCTTCATATATCTTAAACATCATATCTTTTTTAAAATATATTTTAACTGTGTTAAATATCTTTTTTACTATTCGATTATGTTATTTCAGGAACAAGAGATGCCACCGGGGTTACGTTTACAGCCTTATTCGAGGCCATTAACTCCCACCCCAGAAGAAGGGATGGATCCCCCACGTCAAGAGATTGGTACCCAACCCTTACCACCTCATAATGTGCAACCTGTGCATGAGGTGACTGCATCTAGTAGTGTTGGTAAGTTTGCAAAGTTGTTTATATTTAATTTAAGGTCTAACTTGCATTTGTTTACTTATTAACTCAATTAACATTATGTCCTTACAGCATCACATGACAGACGTGGTCGTGGTCCAACACGCGGCATACAAACCCAACGCATTGTCCAGAAAAATGGAAAGATGTTGGTTCCTGTACCTGAACATTTCCGTGCGCCAGTGGGAGATCAAGCCTCTAAGTTGGCCTCCAAGATTGGCATAGAGGTTCGAACGCAATTACCAGACTTGAGCATTTGTAGGTGGAATAAGGTTCACGATGCTGATAAGAAGCCGATGATCCAACGCTTGGAGGTAATTATTGTCAAGTAAAAGAGGCATGACACATGAAAATTGAAATTGAAATTGAAATTGAAATTACATGGTAATTATTGTGTGAAAGAAATACTCTCTTTGTTAGGGTGATTACAAGAACTTGCTGCTAAACAAGATATTACATGGTAGCATATCAAAGACTTCTAGTTTTGGAACGAGTTTAACGATTAGTAAGAATGCAACTATAACTATGTATTTAGGAAGGTCTTGGCAATATCTTCACAGTAAAAAGCAATATTTACAATAGTATACACTTATGATTCACATATTCTTGCTGTTAATGTTTTTCATTACAATATATAATGCCTAGAAAGACATGTAGGACATTTCATGTCAAAGCTTGACATTGAATTTTTAGGTTCCTGTAGACTGCCTAGAAAAACATGGACATCATATTCCTCTGTTAACACATCTGTTGCAATTGTTACAATATATAATGCCTGCATATCTAGGAATTAAATTGCAACTGTTAACACATCTGTTGATGCAATCTTTTTTTCTTTGTTGTTTAATCAGGCTCATTGCGGCTTGTCTGAAATTTAGGTTATTTAACTTATAAAAAAAATGATTTGATTTTGTAGGATCAGTTTGATCTACAAGGCAATCCGAGTGATGTAGCAAGGACTTTAAACACACAGTTTGGTCGGCGATTAAGTAGCTTCACCTATAGGTTGCACAAACATTACAAGCAACTTAAGGATGCAAGAGGGGAGGAGTACGCGAGAAGCCACCCACCTACAAGTGTTACTCTTAATCAATGGGCATCTCTAATTGACAAGAAGTGGAATAGTAAAGAATTCATGGTATAATGTTTTATGTTAATTGTCAAAAATTAATTTTCTTCTTACTAATGTTAAGTTTTGTTGTTTTTATTGGTGTTTCAATCGTGTAGGAAGAATCACTAACTAATGTGAATAATAGGATGCAAATGAAAACAAAACATAGATGTGGATCAAAATTAATCCCGGTTAGGGTGCACAGCTCGGTGTGTTCTGCTATTTTATTTTATCAGATTAGTAGGCTTTGTTATTTAAATATTTGAAATAACATTCAAAAACAAATGAATCAGATAATTGCAAATGGAGAAGTTCCTGATTTGGCAAAGTTTTACAAGTCCATCCACTATAATTCAAACACACATGAATGGATTTCGTCGGAGAGCCAAGCTAATTATGTATGTACAAGGCAATGCATATTAATTTTGATAAAATTATTTATTTGGTTTGTAGGGTAGAATAACTAATAATTGTTCGATTTATTTTAAATTAACAGGACAACATGATAAAGACGCAAGCCGAACACCTCTCGCAGACTGGTGTGATCCCTTTAAGCCAAGAGGAGTTGTCAGTTAAGGTGCTTAAGCCAAGGTCAGGTTATGTGAAAGGACTCGGCTTGAGGCCTTCTTCTTCTATGAAGACTACTGTTGTACCTGTTGAAAATAGTGACTATGTTCAACGCCTTGAGATGCAAATAGCACAGCAAAATGAACAAATTGCAAGGTTTCAAAAGTCAGAGAAGAAACAAAGCAAGAAGATACAAAGTATCATAGAGTGTTTGACGCAGAAAGGTATCACGGGAAATTTTGAGAATGGGGAAAGTTCAGATTCTGATGAACAAGCTTCTTGGTTAGTATATTATGTTTATATGTTAATTTAGTAAAACATTTCTTCTTTAACTAGGGTAGAATAAAAAACTACTTTTGACATTTAGGCACAAGGTCTCGGGAAAATAGTGAAGTATGCATCTAAAGGCCCGAAAAACATCACAAACACCTTGAGATTATCAGAAATTATCACAAACACTTTGGGAGGAATCAACATAAGTTATGAAAACTTACAGAACAATCATAGGACTCTCGGTTGGAAAACATTTAGGCTTGAAAATAGGCCGTTAGGGAGTAAAATCTTGAAATAGTCATTAAAAGGCCAAGAAATATTATGAACACCTTGGGAGGAACTAATGTAAGTTGTAAAAATTTACGGAACAAGCACGGTAAAAATTTGGTTTAAAATTTACTTTGAAATTTTTATTTTTTCTCTTATAGGTTGCATATTAACATATTTAGTGAATGGTTACCTTAACATTTTGTTGTTGTCTTTTTTTTCTTTTTTCTTTTTTAAATGGCAGATTGGAGATGAACGAATTTGGTAACCTGCATAGCAAGAGTTTTTTGTTGATATTACCAGACACATCCATCACAGTGTAGTTGTACTTTTTGTTGATATTACCAAACATGTATTTTGACTATGTTGTTGTGGGCTATGATTATATTGTGATGGATCTTATCTTTTTGTTGATATTTTATTGAATAGATTAAAATGAACAGGTTTTGTTGATATTACCAAATGAACAGGTTTTTGTAATGATTTGTAATGGATATTATATTCAGCAGGTTATTAAAATGCACAAGTTATTTTGATTGTGTTGTAGTTTTTGATTTTATTAGAATAGATGTTATAGTTTGGATGTTATATATTAATTTCTTGATACTATGAGACATGTATTTTGCTTGGGTTGTTTTATGATAATGAACAAGTTAATTTTATATTGATTTGTATTAAATATTTTATTTAATAGATTATTAAAATGTACAGGTATTGTTTATTGAAAAAAATATATAAATTGCAAATATAACCCTCCCCTCAATTTTTAAAAATTATTTATTATTGGTGACGAAAAAAATTGACACTAAAACTTTCTAATCCCAACAAATAATTTTGTCACACATTCACTATTTCATCACTAAATTAAAATATTTCTTGACAAAAAGTTTTCGTCACTGAAAGGTCTTTTTTTTCCATCTTTTGGTGACGATATTTTCGTCACTAAAAATTTTATCACTATTTTTAATGACGAAATATTTTGTCACCCAAAATAAATATAATAAAATTTTATTTAATTTTGGTGACGAAATGGATGTTATAGGTGACAAAATATTTAATATTTAGTGACGAAATATTTCGTCACCAAATGCCAATAATAGGTGACAAAATAAATTTTCGTCACCGGGTACTTTTAGTGACGACGAATTGGTGACGAACGTGGTGACGAAATTATTTCGTCACGGATCAATTTGGTGACGAAAATTTCACTATTGGAGACGAAGTGATTTTGTCATTAAAGTACCATTTTGTTGTAGTGCGATGCAGCAGTCACAAAACTATAACTTCCCCTCCAGGATACAACAGCCCGACCACTTGTCGTATGGTTCACGCCAACTCTGCACAAGATGGTGAACCCAAACCTCCACCAATAAAACACCCTTCTTTGCTAGTAATCTCTCTTGTATAGAAAATAGTTGATGTGTTAGTGGTGTTAGAAAATTTATAAAGAGATAGTTGTGAATTGAAATAGACTCCATTTTGAATGAAAGGGTGTAACCTTTCAAGGTGTCTTTTTGTTTTAAAGGAAGAGTCAAACCTCCATTTGAATGAAAGGGTGCAAACCTTTCATGGTGTCTCTTTATTTTAAAGGAAGGGGTATGTCCCTTCTTCATACATTTTCTATTCAAATTGAATATGTGCCAACAAAGCCTATATAAAGACAGCCCCATTCCAATTTTGATTGATTCCGAAAATTTATTTTCCTTGCCTTCATTTTGCTCTCTTGCATCTTTTATTCTTCATATTATTTTAGGATAATTTTCAGAGAGTTCGAACACAAGTTTGGTTTGTTGAATAAATTGTTTGGAGTGCTACTACAATTTGTGAAGATCATTGTATCCTGGGAGATAGACGCCACTCAACCGTAAGCACCGTAGCGGGGCGAATCTGTCTTAAGGACAGAGTGTCACACACTCGACTTGGTCTTTTATTTTTAATTCGGTTCGATAAATAAATTCGGTGAGTTATTTATTTTATTTTATTTGACTTTGTTTTAATTTATTTTATTTACACAGAAGATTGTTCCAACAATCTTAAGACAGATCCGAATTATTCTGTTTACCTAATTTTGCGTTTGTTTCTTTTTTTCATTTTTCGTAAATAATTTCGGAAGAAAATTATTTTCTGTGAATTTACAAAATAATATTCTGGTTGGAAAAACAAATAGTGATTATATGCTATTTGACAGATAGTAGGGGTGGGCGCAGGTCGGTTGCGGCCACGGAACCTCCAATCCGCCATCCGTCCGCCAAATTGGCGGATTGAAGAAAATCAATCCGCATCCGTCCGCCAATCCGACACATAAAATTTAATTTCTCTGTAGCACTTCAATATTAAAATACCAAAAATAGATTTTAATTAATAAAAACTCAGAAAATAATTCTAAAAAACCAAAATTAATTTCCTAGACAAAATTTCACAAAAAAATATTCTGAATTGTAATGACACAGTATCGTACTACTAGTTGTTGTCAAAGAAAAGAGACAGTATATTACTAACTATCTGTCAAATAGATATAATCACTATTTGTTTTTTCCAACCAGAATATATTTTGTAAATTCACAAGAAATAATTTTCTTCCGAAATTATTTACGAAAAATGAAAAAAAGAAACAAACGAAAATTAGGTAAACAGAATAATTCGGATCGCTTAAGATTGTTGGAACAATCTTCTGTGTAAATAAAATAAATTAAAACAAGTCAAATAAATAAAATAAATAACTCACCGAATTTATTTATCGAACCGAATTAAAAATAAAAGACCAAGTCGAGCGTGTGACACCTGTCCTTAAGACAGATTCGCCCCGCTACGGTGCTTACGGTTGAGTGGCGTCTTATCTCCAGGATACAATGATCTTCACAAATTGTAGTAGCACTTCCACAAAAATTTATTCAACAAACACAAACTTGTGTTCTTAACTCTCTGAAAATTATCCTAAAATAATATGAAGAATAAAATGCAAGAGAGCAAAATGAAGGCAAGGAAAATAAATTTCGGAATCAATCAAAATTGGAATGGGGCTGTCTTATATAGGCTTTGTTGGCACATATTCAATTTTGAATAGAAAATGTATGAAGAAGGGACATACCCTCCTTTTAAAAATAAAGAGACACCATGAAAGGTTTGCACCCTTTCATTCAAATGGTAGGTTTGACCTTCCTTTAAAACAAAAAGACACCTGAAAGGACACCCTTTCATTCAAAATGGAGTCTATTTCAATTCACAACATCTCTTTATAAATTTTCTAACCACCACTTAACACATCAACTATTTTCTATACAAGAGAGATTTACTAGCAAAGAAGGGTGTTTTATTGGTGGAGGTTTGGGTTCACCATCTTGTGCAGAGTTGGCCGTGAACCATACGACAAGTGGTCGGGCTGTTGTAGATCCTGGAGGGGAAGTTATAGTTTTGTGACTGCTGCATTCGCACAACAACAAAATGGTACTTTAATGACAAAATCACTTCGTCTCCAATAGTGAAATTTTCGTCACCAAATGATCCGTGACGAAATAATTTCGTCACACGTTCGTCACCAATTCGTCGTCACTAAAAGTACCCGGTGACTGAAAATTTATTTTGTCACCTATTATTGGCATTTGGTGACGAAATATTTCATCACTAAATGTTAAGTATTTTGTCATCTATAATATCCATTTCGTCACCCTAAAATTAAATAAAATTTTATTATATTTATTTTGGGTGACAAAATATTTCGTCATTAAAAATAGTGATAAAGTTTTTAGTAACGAAAATATCGTCACCAAAAGATGAAAAAAAAGACCCTTCAGTGACGAAAACTTTTTGTCAAGAAATATTTTAATTTAGTGATGAAATAGTAAATATGTGTGACAAAAAATTATTTGTTGGATTAGAAAGTTTTAGTGTCAATTTTTTCGTCACCAATAATAAATAATTTTTAAAAA